TTACGACAGTTAGGTATTCCAACTTGGTTTTGCTCATTTTCATCAGCTGAATTCAGGTGGAATGATATAGTGGCTACAATTCTGCAGCATGGAAATGATAGTAGAAACCCAACAGATTTGGACTGGAGTGAAAAAAGTGAAATTCTGAGGAACAATCCAGTTACTGTTGCGAGAATGTTTGATCATAGGTTCCATATTTTCCAGAGAGATGTAATAATGTCGCCAGCAAAACCAATAGGAAATGTGATCGATTACTTTGTGAGAGTAGAGTTTCAGCAGAGGGGCTCTCCCCATATGCATTGTTTGTACTGGATTGAGAATGCACCTAAACTTAATGAGGATAGTGAGGAGACAGTATGTGACTTCATTGACAAATATGTCACCTGTGCTTTACCATCTGAAGATGAAGACCCTGAACTCCAAAAGATTGTACTAGATGTACAACAACATAGCAAGAGTCATTCAAAGTCATGCAGGAAAAAGAAAACTGAGTGTAGATTCAATTTTCCAAGACCACCATCAGAGAAAACGTTTATCAGCAGACCATGTGAGCAAGAAACTGTTGACACTATGGATGAGAGATTAAAAACTTCACAAGCAAAAGAGATATTATTGAATGTATGGAATGAAGTTCTGGTGGAAAATAGTGAAAGAAAAACAACTGAGGAGATATTTGAAAGTATTGAACTTTGTCAAGATTTGTATGAGATGGCACACAAAGTTCTTTCCACAAAGCTTACTACTATTCTAAAACGAAATCCAGTTGAGATGTGGACAAACCAGTACAATCCATGCTTACTTAGATCATGGAATGCTAATATGGATATACAATATATCTTGGATCCATTTAGCTGCATTGTATATATTGTTTCATATATCTCCAAATCAGAAAGAGAAATGGGAATGTTGCTAAAACAAACACAAATAGAAGCAAGAGAGGGAAATTTAAGTGCACAACAGACAATAAGACATATAGGGACAGCATATTTGAATCATAGAGAAGTTAGTGCACAGGAAGCCGTGTACAGGGTATGCAATCTGAAAATGAAAGAGTGCTCAAGGAACACAGTATTTATTCCAGTTGGTGAAAATCCAACACGTTTAAGTAAACCTCTTGCTGAAATTAAAAAAAAACAGAGAGTTGGAAATGAAGAGTGTAGTGGAAATATTGATATAGCAGAGGATGATGATGAAGACATTTGGATGACAAACATTGTGGAGAGGTATGAAAATCGACCAGTAGAAGATGCCTTCATGGAGACATGCTTAGCAGAATTCTGTTCAGAGTTTAGAGTGCTTGCTAAATCACAGATTCCACAGAGTGCGAAAGAAAGTGTTTTTGAACTGAGAAATGGAAAAGGATACATACAGAAAAGAACAAGGTCCAAAGCAGCTATAGTAAGGTATCCACGGTTTAACAGAGAAAACGAGCCAGAAAAGTATTACCAAGCAATGCTACAGCTATTTCTCCCATACTGGAAAATGGATCACTTGAAACCACCAGGATTTGAACTCTATGAAACATTCTTTGAAAATGGATACATAAGAACAGGGCCACATAAGAGTTTACAGGCAGTCAAAAGTATTGTGCAGAGAAATCATGCCACTTACTCAAAATATGAGGGAGCTATTGAGAATGCTGAAGAGGCATTGGAAATGTTGGGTGAGCCAGATGATGCATGGGCAAGATTGTGTCCTGAAACTGAATTAAGCAGGCAAGAATGTCAGATTGAGAAAGAAAAAACTGAGGAAATGGATAAAAGGGAACCAGAGATCACTCATGAGATAGAGGATAATGGTTCTCAAGACTTGCTTTTTCATGTAGCAGAACCTAGTCACTCGAGAGAAGAGATCATTCCGATGTTACAAGGTTTGAATATGAAACAAAAAGAAATTTTTTATGCTGTGCATGAATGGTGTTTGAATAAGATATCTGGAGAGAACATTGAACCACTGCATGTATTTGTAACAGGAGGTGCTGGGACAGGTAAAAGTCACTTAATCAAGACAATTCACTATGAGGCTTCACGTCTGTTTCAGAGAACATTGAATTCACCCGATGACTTGTCAGTAATTCTAACAGCCTTTACTGGAACTGCAGCATTCAATATTGGTGGAAATACAATTCATCATGTATTTTCTCTAAAAAAGTCTTTACCATTTCCTTATGAACCATTGAAGGAACAGAATCTATGCGCAATTAGAACTAGATTGGAATGTTTACAGATTTTGATCATTGATGAAGTTTCAATGGTTTATAAAAGACTACTTTATTACATTCATGAAAGGCTTGTGCAAATCAAGAAATGTAAAGAACCTTTTGGTGGGGTGTCTGTGATAGCAGTTGGGGACTTTTATCAACTTCCTCCAGTAAAGCAGAGAAAAGATGAGAGGTTATTCAAAGAAAATGGTTCATATCCTGTTGACTACTGGCTTAATTACTTCAAGATTGTTGAACTAGATGAAGTAATGAGACAACGTGAAGATTACAAGTTTGCATGTGTGTTGAATTCATTACGAGTTAGATTGGGAACTGAAGCAATATCAGACCAGGCAAAGACAATGCTTCAAGAGTGTATCAGAGAAGGTCCAGAGAATGTTCTGCATGTTTATTCAACAAACCAAGAAGCTAATGAATACAATCTAAAGATGTTACGAGCAAATTGTAGAGATTTGACTGAAGTTCAAGCTGAAGATTTCCAAAAAGACAATACAACTGGAAAGCTGTCTCTTCGTAGTAAACCTTATGTAAGGATGACCTCAGATGGCTTACCAACTACTTTGCTTTTAGCAGTCAATGCAAGAGTTATGCTCACAAGAAATGTGAATGTTGAAGATGGACTAGTAAATGGTACAATGGGACATGTTTCTCATTTGGAGTATAGAAAAGATCAAAAAAATTGTGTTCAAAATATTGGGGTTGTATTTGACAGTAAAGATACAGGAAAACTAACAGGCATGAAAACTTCAAATGGGAATCTAGTCTTAATTTCTAGAGCACAAGAAGATATAAAAGAGAAAAATACCAGAAATGTTGTTAGACATCAGTTTCCACTCAAATTATCATGGGCATGCACAGCACACAAAGTCCAAGGAATGACCACTCAAAGTGTGGTAGTCAATTTAGACAGAGCTTTTTCAGCAGGACAAGCATATGTTGCGATTAGTAGAGTAACATCAAAGAATGGACTATTCATTGAAACTAATGATGAGGATAATCTGTTTAATAAAATATATGCTGATCCAGATGTAAAATTGGCTCTGAGCGGTATGGAGAAATTTATCCCAGAGGAAACTAAACCTTATTGTCATTTACAAACTAAAAATTACCTAACAATTCTCCTTTTCAATGTGCAAAGTTTAAGGAGACACATCAGGGACATTACAAGTGACAGTAGGTTCTTAAAAGCTGATTTTATAGCATTAACAGAGACCTGGCTAAGGGATGATGAAAATATAAGAGAACTACAATTGGATGCATTTGACTTTCATCATGTACCAAGAAAGCAATGTTACAATGAGAGTGATGGAAATTTTGCTAAATTGCATTCTGCAAAGGGGGGAGGAGTGGGATTATACAGAAGACATGCAGAAAGAAATGTCTTGGTAAAACCGCTTTCCCAGAACAACCTTGAAGGACTAACAGTAGAACTGTATAGTCATGCAACTTTAGTTATTATTGTGTATCGTCCAAGCATTCTAAATGTTCATCGTTTCCTAGACAGTCTTTGGGGTGTTGTCTGTAGATTTCAGGAGCAATATTCCAATTGTGTCATAATAGGAGACTTTAATGAAGATATCAAAACACATGGGCCTATTCAAATGTTCCTAGAGTCAAAGGGATTCAAGCAGATTGTTCATTTCTACACAACAGAAGGTGGAACCACAATTGATCATGTCTATGTCACTGAACAGGTTGATGCAGTTGTGAAGAAAATGCCAGTCTACTTTAGTTACCATGAAGCAGTGGAAATTATTCTTAAAACTAAAGAAAAAGAATAACTAGACTTGAGAGAAAGAAACCAACTTGTGTATAACAAAAGAAATCCCGCAAAAATGAATTATTTTTGTGTGTTCCTCTTTCTAATTTGAAGGAATTTTTTTCTGTGATGTGAGTTATTTGTAAGGTTATACATATATTTCAGTGCATGTATAATTAATACAAATTTTTCAATGAAAAAAAAAATGTGTATAAGGCCATCTTTTAAGTGATATGTTTGTTTGCATTCTCCTGACTCAGAGTAAAATTATTGAGTTGGTAAGTAGGTGGAGAAATCTTTCTTTCTAGAAAATTTCAATGTATTCAATGAAAGAAAAAGAGGAATATAAAGGAAAATAAATAGATGTATTGTCTTACAATGTAAAGAAGAATTTACTGAGCCAGGCCATTTAGTCGGTCAGTCTGAGAGGTCAACCAGACAATTTTGGCAGAAAATTTTTACCAGTTTTAGCAGAAAATTTGCAAAAGATTTACATAAAATAGAATTTCTTTAAGATTGCATATAGTATTGGAAGCAAAATGATATCCTTTGTTGGAAAATGTCAAATCACATACATGTAAATGTGTATGTATTGCAAAGATTTTTCATGCTTATACATCCTGAGTATGATGTTGTTTTTAAAAACTTTTTTTTATTATTAATCTAATACCCTATCCATTGTGGTACTCTCCTTGACTTTCAGTGCAAATAAGATTATACAGGCATCATATCTTATTTAAGCAAAAAAATAAATTTTCAGTAGTATCCCTTTAATTTTAACTTGCTTTAAACATTGTTGGAAGATTTCAAATACTTGTTTTAAATTATACAAAATGTTTAATGATACATGGATTTCTAATGAAAGCTCCAACTTTGTAGGTACTTGTATAGTTGGATAATTGAAGACTTTTGCATACATCAGAGGAACTGTCTAAAAGTTCCACAGTTTTCATAATTATCAATATAGATTGATAAATTATATAATTTTTTTTGAATTTATCTTTTCTTGTTTTTCTCCAGGCATTGAGGTTGATATAGCAAGTTACCAGTTTTTATGTGATTCTCTTCCCAACCACCATGACAAAAAGTGTGATAGACCACTGGATTGGAAAATACATGTATTTGTGAGTAATTTTAGAACATTTTGAGATATTTTTGTATAATTTAAAAGTAAATGATAAGAAAAGATGTACTTTTAATATGATATGATTATACATGTATTTATACCAAAGAAAATCTTCGACTTTGTGTGTTGTGCATGCCCATAGATGTATATTACACGAGTACTTCCATGCCAATTTCAATAGTCCCTGTCCACTGATGTCAAACACAAAAACAGTTGCAAGAGATTTGTATGCATATTAGGCCTCCTTAGCTCCTGATCTATTGTCCTACCTATTTAACATTCCTGTAGATTTATCAAGAAATCAACTCCACTAACTTTCAAAGCATTGTCACAGAGAAAATGATTACCGGTAGAAATGGAAATATTGTGTTATAACCATGCAGTGTTTTATCAAGGAGTGTTATTGTTTGAATTAGAAGAAACATAATTTTCCTGTAATATTGAACATTAATGACATACTCTTTTATTTACAGTTGCATTTGAATATGTAATATTGAATATTAATGACATATTCTTTTATTTACAGTTCCAGTTGAATAAATTAATTAGAAATGCAGAAAATTGGGCAAAATTTAGATATCATCCAATCCAGACCCAAGAGAGTTAATGGCTATCGGTTTGCAGATATTTAAACAAGTGGCAACAAATACTGGAAGTAGGTTAGTAAACTTCTGGGAATTATTCAGTAACAGGTCATACTGGAGACTAAAGTAATTCTTCATCCTGTGACATCAAAAAATAATTAATTGAATGTCCAGCTTTTTTCAAAAAACGGGGGAAATTTGTTCATTTGAACAAGTTGAGAAGAGATGTACTGAGAGCAAGCTTAAGTTATCCAACCCATATTAGGACATATAGTTTTCTAAGGTTAAATATCTATCCTGTATTAAGTATTCTGAAACTAATTCAAATCAGTGAAGGCTAGAAGAGTATTTACTAGGTTAAATTTTTTTATATAGTTATTATAGGAGCAGTAATCAATTAATGAAGAATACATTAAGGTCTGCGGGAACAAGAAAATCTTTGGAAAAAAAATAAATATTAAAAAATATAAAAATGTGCTATCATGGTGGAACAATTTTAAACATAATTTTTCACTTGGCCAACATTAAGAATTGATTTGTAAATTGATGTATTCCTACCAACCTGTCACAATTAACCCTACTTACTCATTTTTTCAGCACTTTGATAATTTATATTTTTATTCTTTAGTTTGCATAGAAATTGTTTCATTTTATGGCTATAATGATTTAAAGGTGTACAAGTTCTCTAGGAAGCTTTTTGATAAAATGTTTTGAGCAATAAACCAGTGTAGTTATCCAATGTGTAATGAAAACATATCAAAACAAGAAAATGCAATTAGTAATACCACTGGATGAAATCCCAGAAGAGTGAGGATTTAGATATAGCAAACTCCTACAAGACTGTTTTTGCTTTAATTGAACATTTTGAAGGGAAATTTCAACAAAATACATTGTTACAGGAAATATGAAAGAGGAATAATTCCTTTTATTATATGATTGAATTATTTTCATCTGCCTGATTAGCTGAGGTTCAACTATGTCAGAAAAATACTACATTAATTGTATTGACCTGCATGTGACATTCCAGGTCAATACAAGGATTTTTTCCTCTACATTGATCTAAAAATAGATTGGAAAATTCCAAATTGATACAGTTTGTTTTGGGAAGCTATTCATAGGACTATATGACTTTTTTTCTTGTGAATAAAACATATTAAGTGAATAAATGTATAAATTTTCCGGTGAGAAGGATGCAGGGACCCCCCTCCATCACTTTTACTGAACAACACTTTTTACTTTTAAGCAGTCAGTTTTCCCTAATAATAATCCTTCCTTTCAAAATTTATCCTATAGAAAAGACTTACATTATATATTTTTTTCACGGCAACTAAAATTGATAAAAACTTTTCAAATTGATTCAGTTTTTAGCTCACCTGAGCCGAAGGCTCAAGTGAGCTTTTCTGATCACATTTTGTCCGTCGTCCGTCCGTCTGTCCGGACGTCTGTCTAGCTGTCCGTCCGTCCGTCTGTAAACTTTTCACATTTTGGACTTCATCTCAAGAACCACTGGGCCAATTTTGACCAAACTTGGTACAAAGCATCCTTGGATAAAGGGGAATTTAAATTGTCAAAATGAAGGGACATATCCCCACGCAAGGGGAGATAATCAAGAAAAGACAAAAATAGGTTGGGGTCATTAAAAAATCTTCTTCTCAAGAACTACTGGGCCAGAAAAGCTGAAACTTATATGGAAGTATCCTGGTATAGTGTAGATTCTAAATTGTTCAAATCATGACCCCTGGGGGAAGGGCGGGGCCACAATGGGGAATCAAAGTTTTATATAGAAATATATAGGAAAATTCTTTGAAAATCTTCTTCTCAAGAACTATTGGGTCAGAAAAGCTGAAACTTATATGGAAGCATCCTGGTAAAGTGTAGATTCTAGATTGTTCTAATCATGATCCCTGGGGGAAGGGCGGGGCCACAATGGGGAATCAAAGTTTTATTTAAAAATATATAGGAAAATTCTTTGAAAATCTTCTTCTCAAGAACTATTGGGTCAGAAATTCAAAAGCTGAAACTTATATGGAAGCATCCTGGTAAAGTGTAGATTCTAAATTGTTCTAATCATGACCCCTGGGGGAAGGGCGGGGCCACAATGGGGAATCAAAGTTTTATTTAAAAATATATAGGATTCTTCTCAAGAACCACTGGGCCAGAAAAGCTGAAACTTATGTGGATGCATCCTGGTATAGTGTAGATTCTAAATTGTTCAAATCATGACCCCTGGGGGAAGGGCGGGGCCACAATGGGGAATCAAAGTTTTATATAGAAATATATTGGAAAAATCTTTGAAAATCTTCTTCTCAAGAACTATTGGGTCAGAAAAGCTGAAACTTATGTGGATGCATCCTGGTATAGTGTAAATTCTAAATTGTTCAAATCATGACCCCCGGGGGAAGGGCGGGGCCACAATGGGGAATCAAAGTTTTATATAGAAATATATTGGAAAAATCTTTGAAAATCTTCTTCTCAAGAACTATTGGGTCAGAAAAGCTGAAACTTATATGGAAGTATCCTGGTATAGTGTAGATTCTAAATTGTTCAAATCATGACCCCCGGGGGAAGGGCGGGGCCACAATGGGGAATCAAAGTTTTACATAGAAATATATAGGAAAAATCTTTGAAAATCTTCTTCTAAGGGACCACTGGGCCAAAAAAGCTGAAACATATGTGCCAATGGAAGGATCATGGGGTAGTGTAGATTTCAAAATGTTTAAATTATGATCAGTGGGGTAATGTGGGGATGCATTATGTATAACAAGGGTGAAATCTGGTAAAGAACAGAATGGTCAAAGCTTCTCAGGTGAGCGATGTGGCCCATGGGCCTCTTGTTTTTATACCCCCCGCAAAGTTTGGGGGGGGGGGTATATAAGAATCACCTTGTCCATCTCTCTGTCTGTCTGTCTGTCCGTGTGTCTTTCTGTCCGTCTGTCTGTGGAATAGTGTCCTGTCCAACCTGGTTTGGGCTCTTTCTTATAATCTGCTTTGGGGATTATTAAGGATAGAGGATAAACTGACCCAAACAAGCTTGTTTAGAAAACAAATTTGCAAAGAATTAGAGCCGTTCCTTCATTAATCCAGCTAGGTACTCGAGTACTCTTTAGTCCCAAGTTGAAGACTTAAGTGAGCGTATAATCTCATCAAAAGGACAAGTGCACATAAGCAATGCTTAATGGGCCCTTATATGTGCCATTTGACTTTAGCCAAATTGTTCTCTTTTGGAAATAGTTATATACTGGTGTATATTTTTAATTAAAAAGCATGATAATCATCACCCAAATCAGCATGGATTTGAAACAAATGAGTATTTTTAAATGCCTATATGGACAACATAAAAATCCGGAAAAGTCTACCAAACCTTCTTTTAGTTTTGTTTACGTAAATCAAAGCGAAGAGATCTTGAACAATCTGATCTACAACAGTTTTACAATAGTGACAAAAACGCGATTCTTTTGGGATACAAGGCTTTGAATATCTGCCTACATCATAGTTGAGCGCGTTTGTAAAATGTCACTTTTTGTGCTGTATATCTGTTTTAAAAATTTGAAAGTTATGTAGTTGCCTGAAGCCATAATAATCAAAGTAAGAAATCAGTACTCTTGTATTTGAAAAAAAATATATACAATATAATGAATTTGAAATCTAAAACTAGTGTTTAGGTGGCTTTCAATACCTGTATCATTGTCTTGCATAAATGTAAAAAAATGTCTGACACTTTTATGAGTGGCACTAAACTCTCTTTACCCTACCGTAATCTTGAATATAGATACATAGAAATATTTCTATGCGGCGCGACTTTGACTAAATGATAAAAAACCTGCCGATGTTTTACAGTAAGCACCCTTGAGGAATGTTTACATGGGTAGAACTCACGTGACTATCGGTATTTTAAATAATTTATTTCACAAGTGGGTTCAACATGGGTCATACAGGTAAATACCTCTCACTTGCTATAGGAAAAACATTGTACTTTTTGTACATTTTTAATATTTTAACTACCAGCCTAATTGTGTACAAATTTCCTACTTTCACACAAGTTTTATAAATGTATTATGCGTCTTTTGTCATTCACACAAGTTTGTACAAAGTTAGGCTCATAGTAAACAAAAGCTTTGAAATGAATGACCGTTCTTCATTTACTATAGAAAATCACAAATGTCCGTTGACCCCTGCTGCATTCTATGGTTTTGTTCTTTGAATATACGTGAATTTCAGCTGTAAAATTTGTTGAATCTTACGGTTTAGATATCAATTAATGATTTGGGATGAAAAATTTTGCTGTTTATTTTTTCACATTTTACCGGGGCCCATAAGTGCACTCGTTCTTTGTTTGATGTTAGTTGTAAACTGCTTACAATTTCAAATATTTTAGTATTAAACTTATTTCCGTCCTAAAAAAATTGCTCAGGTCAGCAATGTGACCTATGGACCTCTGTTTTATTTTTAAAAATTTTTAAGGTTAATATTGACAAGATATATTTTACATGCTATACTAATCACTATTATCCGTAAAATAACAAACTTAAAGATACAGTGAATGTTTATAAATATCGAAATACCTGCTCAAGGTATTTTATGTAATGAAAATTCAAAAAATTCTTTAAAAATTAATTACTGAAAGTCGAGTTCTGAGTTGTTGTCAGTAAATTCACCCATGCATGTAAAGTATTCAGACACAAACAAATCAGAATAAAAACGTGTCTTAAGAGGAGACATTATTTTATGCTTTCTTTTTTTATACCAGAGTGTTTTTCATGCACGCATAGACACATTGTCAAAAATTCAGAACTCGACTTTCAGTAATTAATTTTTAAAGAATTTTTTTTGAATTTTCATTACATAAAATACCTTGATCAAGGTATTTTAAATACCTTGATAAAGCTATTTATTATATACCCATCAATTTCCTTGTTTTTGTTACTGTTAATTTTACAGAGTTTGATCCGATTTTCCGGATCACCACACTGTTGTTTTCTAAATCCATATCACCACTGACTGAAAATGATGACATATAGTACGCGAAAAAATGACGTTATTTTTCTTGCGCTTTAAAAAGTCCCTTGTTATTATGCTTTGTTTTATGAATAAATGTTATACAATTGATCTTTAAAGTTTTATTCTGATATATTTAGCTAGTTACAAGGGGGTATATAATAAATGTATCATTATAACAGTAACTTGATCCGAAGAGCTGTATCACGTCTCGTTGACAGGCGCGGATCATCAGATCACACTCTGATGAACCGCGCCTGTCAACTCGACGTGATACAACCCTTCGGATCAAGTTACTGTTATAATAATATATATATAGCTTTATCAAGCTATATACCTTTATCGGGGTATTGTGCTGGACCTGATAATTATTATCCTTAGAATAACAAACTTAGATATGTTTATAACTGTGTACTAGTATTAGTAAAAATGAATATGTTTTGCATTTCAGAAATTTATTATTCATATCATTTACAATGAAATAGATTGAAAAATATCAACCAATCAATGGATCGAGCCACATTTTTTATTGTATCACCTGTCCTTATATGGAAACCATTTATTGATTATTGATTGATAGCCCTTTTACATATATGCTTGATGGTACTTCATTTGCATCTTAAACTCTCCAAACATCCACTTTTGTTGCGTAAATTATGTTTTTCACATTTTATTGTTATCATACTGTATTCATACTTTAATAAAAAATACAAGTATCACACCCATTTAAAGTACATTCTGTTTTCTTGTTTATTGTATTCTCAGAGGAAGGCTCACTGCAGAAATTATGGGTAATGACTAATCTCAACATGACATCATATTCAGTAATTCAACACACAGGATTTCGGCCATAAAAGTTTGGACTTGATGAACAAGTACATGTCTAAAGGGGAGCCTGAAATATAGTTTTTCGAATTTTAAAGACTTTGTACTCAAAAGAGTTAATTTGGATGTGAAAGTGACAAGAGGATTTTGTTTGTAAACAACTAGAGAGGAAAACTTTCTGTGTCCAGGTCCTGGTTTGTCCTAGGATGTGGAAGTGAAACATATGATTCAATGAACTACACAATTGTTAATCATGTGTCATCTCTGTGGTAGACAGTAAATTTCTCCAACATAGAACAATATTTTAGAAATGTACCTCTGCAGAATTTGATATGACTGCATGTCCATTTCTTTTTAACCTGAGTTATGCATGAATAAACAATACTAATGTTTAGATATTTTCTTACTTACAGTAATATAACTTATTCAGTTGATTTGTATTTTTAAAGCAATATTAGCTGCAACTTTGATATAATTATCAGAAACTTTTGCTGCATCTAATTATTAAACTATTTTGATAACAGAAAAGAAGAGCATTTATAAATTTCTATTGTTCATGGACATGATGGAAGAACTATTGATAAGCTTTGATTGAACCAAACACACATTATGTCCTGTAATATTGATTTCTTATATAATACATGTACTACATATTGGGTTGTACAGAAGTCTTTAATTATTTTTGCATAATGTAATGTATCATTTTAGTATATTTGATCATTATTTAAAGGTTTACTTATACATACAAATAAATCATTATGACTCTTTCTTTCACAGCAAAATAAGAATTCTAAAAAATGCAGCGCATATGGGTACAGTCCACTAATTTTTTTCCCATAGGCGACAATGTTAACGTTTCTTCTCATAGCGATGTCCCTAATTTTCATTCGGTAGTGAATGACCCCTCAAATCAAAGCACATCAACTTGTCTTTCCTTGGTTAAAATCTCGAGGTGGCATGTCAGATTTGTTTTTCGGCAAAATGCGTCCGTCTGCGGGAACCTCTAAAAATGAAAGTGAAAGAAGCCTAAGTAGGGGGATTTCAGAAATCACACTGGCGGTATAATACACAATATAATTCGGCTGATCTTCTTGATCAATTACATTTTCAAAGCTTTTTTGGTAGGAAAGATACTCCTTATCACCAAGTGTAAGGCTCAGTTAAGTACACCTGCCCAATTTTTTTTTATGCAAGTGTGCAATTTAAGGAACTTCTAATTTTTTCTGCACTACTTTCTTCTCCTACTGATTTTAAAAATAATTAGTGGGATGTACCCATATTGCTCTAATTTGAATAAATATTGCACAGTATCATCTGATTATAAATTTTTAATATTGGCACACCAGAGCTGAAATTTCATATGAGCATTTCTGATCATCCATTGTCTGTATGTAAACTTTTCACATTTTTAACTTCTTCTCAAGACCCACTGTGCCAATTTTAACTGAAGTTGCTACAAAGCTTTGGGGGAAGGGGAGTATATTATACAAAGGATTGAGTAAAGGAGAGTAAAGTGTTTCAACTCCAAGGGGAGATAATTTTTAGGCAGGTAACTCATTTCAATGAGCTATCAAAGCTGTTGATTTGGAGTGGCATAGGTTAAATTAAGTACACTTTTCTCAGCTTACTTTGTATAGTATTTATATATTAATTGAAAACTACTAATATGTTTATTTATAATACTAGTATATATTGTAAAATTATCTGTTAAAAGAGCGAAACAAATTTCTTTCTTAATGTAAGTTGCAACTGCCAATTCCTGAAAAATAATGGAGCGCTTAAACAAAATGATGTCGCAGGTGGATTTTACCATAGAATCACAGCTTTTAAGTGTGCAGTGTAGAGAGGGCTCTTAAAATATTCCAAATTATCTAAATCATGACCGCAGGGGGTTAGGTGGGGTCACAATAGGTAACAAGTAGGAAATCTGGTTAACAACAGAATGGCCAAATGTTTTTTTTATTCAGTGATCCAAAGAAAGGCCCAAGTTTGAATTACCTGGCCCACCGGCCTAATATTATTATTAACAAATGTGAGTTCTAACCTTGAAATTAATTAGCATTAACCTTTAAAGATGTATTGTCATTATTGAATTGATAACACTGACCTACACAAGGACTTGAATGCGTATCTGCATTCATTTGTAATTTGAAACAGTCTGATGTGTTAAAAGGGCAACAACTCTTTCTGTAACATATTATATATAAATGTGTGTGTGTATATATGTATGTATATATATATATATGTATGTAAATATGTGTGTGTGTGTGTGTGTGTGTATATGTATGTATATATATGTATGTAAATATGTGTGTATGTGTATATTTTTGGTATATCTCCAGCTTTTTAGGTCACCTGAGCCAAAGGCTCGAGTGAGATTTTCTGATCACATTTTGTCCGTGTCCATCTGTCCAGCTGCCTGTCTGTAATTTACTGTTCACATTATCAACTTCTTCTCAAGAAGCACTGGGCCAATTTTGACCAAACTTGGTATAAAGCATTCTTGGGTGAAGGAAAATTTAAATTGTAAAAATGAAGGGCCAAGTCTCGACACAAGGGGAGATAATCATGTAAAGACAAAAATAGGGTGGGGTCATTAAAAACTGAAATCTTTTTCTAAAGATCCACTTGGCCAGAAACACTGAAACTTATGTGGAAGCATTGTGGGGTACTGTAAATTTTAAATGTTTAATTCATGATCCCCAGGGGTAGAGCAGAGCCACAATTGGGAATCTAACTTTTACAGGTACATAGAAATATACATAGGAATAATCATAAAAAATCTTCTGATGAAGATCCACTGAAAAGCTGAAACTTTTTTGGAAGCATCCTGAGGTAGTGTACTAGATTATAAATTGTTCAAATCATGACCCAGGGGTAGGGTGGTGCCACATTAGGAAATCAAAGTCTTACATAGATTTATGAAGGAAAAATCTTCTTCTATAGAAGCACTGGGCCAGAGCTGAAAATCAAGTGGAACAATTCTGGGGTAATGTGGATTCTAAATTGTTCAGGTTGTGACCCCTAGGGGTAGGGTGTGGCCACAATAGGGAATCAAAATTATACAAAGAAATATATAGGAAATATTTTTAAAGTCTTTTTATCACGAACCACTGGGCCAAAAAAGCTTAAATTTAGGTGAAAGCATTGTGGGGTAGTTTAGATTTAGAATTGTTATTATAAGATCTTTGAAATCTGTCAGTAGGTAAGGTACGTTGTATATGTCCTTAATGTCAAGTAGATTGATGTGTTTTTTAATGCAGTTTTCTGATATACATGTACATATAAATCTTTTGTTGTTGTTGTTTAATTCTATCAAAAAAATTTGTGAAACAAACTATAACTATATTCATAGAATAAACTGAAAATCCAACATAAAGAAGTAGTCATCTAATCATTGATAAAATTCAAAAGAAAATTAAAGCTGGAGACCAACACCTTGAGGTTTAAACTGCGGAAGATTCTCACATGTGGATACCGAAAGGTATTCAATAGGGTCTGGACTGTATGTACGCTAAGCTTACTTACTTTGCTTTATAATAACTTAATACCAAAGGGTAGATCAGAGCAACAAAGAGAAAACACATATCCATTTAATAACCAGTCGTGCATCCTACCCCACAGGAACCACTGACCCTGGTGCCACACACTATATACTTTTACCAGCCGTGTAATTAATTATTTTGGAAGAGGTGCCTTTCTTCATCATGAATTTGTACTTCGATCATTGGTATAATGCCAAGAAGGAAAGGAAAAGATTTTCAAAGAATTCTTCAATTTTTACTATATATAATCAATAAAGCCCCATCCTAAATAAGGGGCCCTGAAATTCAAAAATCTGGAAGTGGCATCCTTCAGCATCATAACTAAGTACATAGTTGATTGGATTAATACCCAGTAGCAAAGAAAAAAATCTATGAATTAATGCATTTGACTATATTTCATCAATAGAGCCCTACTGTACATGTAACATCAGAATCCTGACCCTCAGGCCAAAATAATTAACAATTTAGGAAGAGGCAGCCTTTTTCAACATAATTATGTACATGCCTAGTTTATTTAATAAGAGAAGAATATTTTTAAAGAATTATTGCATTTTCACTTAATTAATCATTAAATACTATTGTTATACCTTTAGAAATTTGTTCCTATACAATTCTATACAAAAAAAAGTCTAACATTTTTAATGTTTCGCTGAGCGGGCATAAAAAAACCGATGTTGGACCGCTGAGTGAGATGTTGGACCGCTTATGTCACAGAGTGGGCGGAGCTTAATCTCATTTTCATTCGCTGGTGTTATACAGTGATAGATCTGATGTTACATCACGGAATTAAGTACAAAATATGTGTAAATATATAAAATAAAATAAAATGAAAGGTATAACTAAACATTTATTGACAGAGTTCTCGGGCAAAATGCGTTTTGTAGAACCCTCGAACTAAACTGTCTGCCTTCGGCCTAACGGCCTCAGGCAGACAGTTTGGTTCTTGGGTCCGACAAAACGCATGTTGCCCTCGAACTCAGTCAATAAATGTATAGTATAGGCCTGCCGTAACACCAGAACCCAGTCCAAGAAGCAATGAATTTATCAATTTTTGAAAAAGCATGCAGATTTTTTCAACATATTTGTGTACTTGGTAAGTTTATTTAATGCCCAGGAGAAGATAAGAAGAATTTCAGAGAAATAATGCATTTTCACAAATTTATCTATTTTGCACTGCCCTAGCACTGGAAGCTCTGACCCTGGGGCCATAAAATTCGTAATTTTTGTAGAAGACTCGGGTGCTCAAATTACAATCATACCACCAGTCTGAATACTTGATTTCCAGGAGTAAAGAAGATTTTTAAAGATTGCATTAATTTTAGTGGTTTTGACCCCACCCTTTAGAGGGGGGGGGGAGGCAGCTAGGGTCCATGAAATTCTCCATTTTTGTTCCCCGTTCACTCATAAGCATGCTTTTTGTCAATATTGGTTGCAAATGGTTTAGTTTTAGCTGAAAATGTTATCATGATTTTTTTTGCTTTTATATGTATGGATGACCAAGGCATGATTATGGATGTATATTTTATCAAGTGTATTTGGATCCTTCATTTTCTCTTATTTTCTTATAAATATAGATACAGAAATTAATTATATAGAAACAATAAATCTGCATATCTGATCTGCAAAATTTTATTCTCTCAGTGAAAATGTTTGAAGTTACAAAAGTAGAAATTGTAAGAAAACAATTATACCAATTAATTAATTTACTTGGAATTCAATTATCGTTACAAATAGGTGTTAATTTACATTTTCTTGTATACAGTATTTTTATAAACACTTAAGTACAGATGAAACAATCCTTAATAATATATAAAATTTTCCGAGAGTTTGTCATTGAAGTATTGCTACTTAAACATGTTTACTGTTTTTCTTATATATTCCTTTTGGGAAGAAAAATAATTTTCCAATTTCAAATAATAAAATGTTTGGATTTTTTAAAGACATTTAGAAACTTGTTTGGAAATACAGAATGTTATTAAAATTTTTAATATTTTTCATAGCTTATGAAGATATACAAAACAGATATTGAGGAACGTCTCGTCTGACCTTAAGTTTTAAGTTCGTATCTCCTACACAAGCACCTATATAGCATAATCAAAAGGATAAGATTTATACTATAGTAAATTAATCAAAGATCTTCCTCCAATATTTACATATACAGTGTATGCAAAAATATGTAAATATTCTTTTTAACTACCTTCCCTGCAGTCACGCATTTTAATGCATACACCATTTCCAATTTCTAAGGCAAAATCACGCATTTACCATTTACTCGCAATCACGCATTTTCACGCACTTTAAAAAGTTCATTTAATCTTCAATTTATTACCAAATTCCAACTATTTTATACTTGCTTAAATCTCGTAAAAGAAGAAAAGTTATTTTCTAATTAAAATATTACGTCATGATATTATTTACGCTAAACTTTAGAGAAACCTGTACCCTGCTATAAAGTGCTTGCGGGGAAAAGGTAACGTATTATGTTTATGACGTGAGGATTCAATGTATGTTGCATAACAATTCTATAAGTTGTAAAGAGTTAAAATCAATTTGATCCAGAGTAGCAGAAGAGTTATTGTTGGCCTTGACACTAATGGACTATCTGAAAAACAAAATTTTTTCTTATTTTTATGAACTTTGAATTTATAATATTACAATTAATCAGCACATTTTGAAATATCTTAACAAACCATTGAAAAAATGTACAATTCTGTCCTATTCTGTAGAGAGCTATATCCAGACTCAAAAAATGTGATTTTTATGTACAATAAAAAAAATTATTAAATAATGTCCTGTTCACACGACAAGTTTAATTCGCAGTAAATTAATGCGAAGTAAACTAATGCGAATCAAACAAGTGCAAATTAAATTGCGTTCACATGACACCTAATGCGAAGTAAACTAATGCGAATTAAATTTTACTTAGACAGTCAGGCGTGAGGAAGGCTATTATGATGTCATTTGAAAATCAAGTCACCTTATGCAGAAGCAGATGCATTTTACATAATGTCATAGTGTTTGGAGACATATTTTAGAGATAAAGACATTTTTTCTTAGTTTTTGATTCAAAAATAGCATAAGTTCTTAAAATTGGCCACCAACATGATGCATTTGACTTAATTTTGCCATTACGCATGCTTCAAATTTAATTCAAATTAGCTTCGCTTTACGTTCACACAGAGCTAATGCAAAGTAATTTAATGCGAAGTAACCTAATGCGAAGTAAACTAATTTGCATTAAATTCTCTGTGTGAACGCTAAGCGAAGCTAATTCGCAGTAAACTTATGTTTAATTCGAATTAAACTCTCCATGTGAACAGGGCATAAGTCTCTACGAGTTGTACCACAGAGTAAAATACTGTAATACTTGTTATAAATATTTATATAATTTAAAAAAAAAAATTGAATTTCACCTGCACTATTCAAGTTCCTTAAGGTCTCACACAAGGAAATAATTTCACTATATATTACTATAAAGCTTGAATTAAATTATTTAATTTATTAGACTCTCAGCAGAAAATTCATGAAAGAGAAAATAAAGATTAATGCGTAAACAAAAATTTGAGATCAGAAAAAATATGCCTTATGCGGCTTTTAAGAAAGAAAATCGACAGTAAACATACCTACCCCGAAATGCACATGGGATTCAAATGTTGACAAACAGCCTACACACCATCCAGGAAGCTGCATCATGTGCACCTGAAAAAAAGAGTTCCTTTTAATTCAGTGGGATAATTCTGCTAAAGAAATGATATTCCTAGTACATGAGTCCAATTTTAATACTGTAGGCCTAAAACAAATTGCCAAAATTGAAAAAAGAAAAAAAAAAATTCTCTATATATATGGAACTTCAATTTGATTGGCTATTTCCTTGCGTAAGACCTTAAGTCTTGATTCTTTTTTCACCTACATCACATATGCACTTGCTGTTTGTGAAAGTTTCTGTGCTTGTTCCAACCATCATGTTAACTGCATGTACTGCAACCCAATGAATTTTAAAAATTCACCACCAACTCTAGGGGGAAGAGAATGTTAGTGAGAGAGAACATTGTAATAATGTTTTGTAAAAATTTACCCTTAATTTTCTAAATTAAACATTTTATTAGATGTATTAAAAAAAAATTAGATTCTGCTGCATGCTCATGCAGTACGATAAAATCAGTTTATTAACTCTTAAATACAAAATAATACCCCCTGATAAGTTTAATTTCAGTTTTAGTGAAATATCCTATGCCGAAACTTTTATATAAGTGATTATAACAATACACACTCACAACTTCTATAAAATTATTTTTAACACAAGAATTATTTTCTCTGGTTCCTTTCACCAAGCTCATTATCTAGGTTACTTACAAGAACAGGTGTGGACAGTAATCGATAAAGTGTAGTGACTGTAAGTGTTTTGTCTTTGTAGAAGTCACAATGAAATCATCAAGGAATGCTTCTTGTACCGGGTATATTGATGATATACTCACACTACCTGAGGGGTAAAAAAAAATATTATAAATCAATATGATCTTCGTAGCTTAAAAATATGTGCATGCAGATAAAAAAGGCAGAATGTCTCAGATTTACAAAAATATGTGAATAAAGTACAGCTTATTATAATTTTCTCTTCTTTAGGTACATGAATTTTTATCAATCAATAGCTGCAGTATTGTTATGGTTTTATATATTGATCATTGACCATAACCATAAATGGTTGGGAGGTGGATAAAATATACACATATTTAATATTAGATAAAGAATGTGTCTAGAATTAGGGAGTGTAAGGTAGTTTATTGACAATGATAGACTGAAAGTGCACAAAAAATGTTGCACCC